TCTCGAAGTAGTAAAGCCTAAATCCGCGAATATGCGGATGGTTTTTCGAGTATATTCTTGTAGAGGAAATCAAGTAGATCATTTCTAGAGAAAGCCCGAGCTCAATTTTCAGACTCTACCGAGAGAAAAAAAGCCGCGAAAAAATCCGCAATAATTATGCATCGACCTAATATATCCCTTCTTTAGCGCGTTTGGTAGCAGTATGCTTTCACTGTTAAGAATCATATTTTTCTCAAAACTTTCCAGACACCCTAAAAGCTGCACGTGATGACATCAAATGTTGGTTGAGTAGGAATTTTTGATCTGTTTTTCATCTTCGTTTCGAAATTCTAATTTTCACTAAAAAACGACCCCAATAAATGCTACAGTCCCCAATATGGTCCACAACACATGCCCAATGATCCAGCAGCATTCCCATAGTCCAGCACGCGGTAGCCGCAACTTGAGAACGCTAGCAAGCTCATTTCAAGTTACGAACGATCATCTAACTCTTTAACCCGAAGTGTTTTTGAAGAGCAAGAAACTAATGGCAGTCAGAAGGAGCAAGATCTGGCGAATAAAGATCCCAATTCGGCAATTTTCTGACGAGACAGTTTGGCATCATGCGTTCGTGGAGAAAAAAACCTTTGCCTATGGACGCTTCTTTCGAATAATGTGACCAACTCGGTAGCTGAGAAGCGTAATTCTCTGCAGTCACGGTGGAACCCTCATGAATCATGAATCATATCAAAAACACAGCAAAACCTCACTTGGATGTAGTCCACTTCTCTGCTGTCGTAAATTGAGATACGATGTCTCCTTTGAGTGCCCCAGTTATCTACGACTTCATCGATAGATTATGCCCTTCCGAAATTCGTAATTTGCCCAGTAGGGATATGTACTACGGTCGACAGTTGAAGAAAGAAGTCATTATTGCGAAACACCCACATGGGTATGCTTATATATCCTCTTAGGTGCAGGTTCGGGAAAGGCCTACCATAACATACTACGAAATCCTTTCCAGTGGCTCTACAAAAAATCCAGAAACGGATTAAAAGTCGGTCAGAACGTTTCAGTCGTTTTACACAGCCTAATACAAACCCCTACTGTGCAAATTTTGTGGTCACATTCTCGTCCGACACCTGATGGAAGTACTTTTCCGATTCGTTATATCTCTTTGAATGCGCCGTTATCCACGTTTCATTCGTTACCTTTGCACTATTCTGGAATGCTAGTTTCACTGATCGTTGCTATGTCACTATGGTAAGCGTATTTGAAAGAATGAAACTTTTGAGCCAGCCGGGGCCCTCCCAGATATGCTCTGAGCGCAATGGATGTCAAAGACTTGATAACTCCGAAGTGAACGAGCACAAGATAATGGGAAGAACCTCCGACAATATTCACTTCAGTTTTCAAATTTAAATGCTTAGAATCGTTGTCTGCTGTTATGTAATTAATTGACAGAAGCTATACAAATATCATAGTCGTGAACATGTAAATGAAATTGTGAAATGAATTCTACGATCCGCTCATAAATATGCACCTGCTCTGGAAGGCTCCGACAAGAGCACTGAATCCAGGTGTTAATAGGGGCTGCTGGTCTTTTCCGAACCCGTTCTCAGCATGAGATTGTCAGCGCAGGTACCCACAACAGAGGGAAAGTCAGGGAATGAATCGCAACTCAGATAATTCACGCGGCACCAACAATGAAGCAATACGTTGTAAAATAGCGATTGCACAGCCGAAAGATGGTAATAAAACAAAGGACACGAGTAGTAACATTGAGTGGAACCTTTTAAAACAACTCAGAACGTTGTGAAAGTTCTATTCTGCAGGCAGGAATAGCTGAGTACTTGAGATAATACATCCATGTCTGCACTCAGGAAAACCACGAGTTTGATCTTTGAGTGGCAAACCATGTTCTGCAAGTTCTGTGGATTGGTGCCGATAGCAGCTTCAGGCCCAGAATGACAGGCCAGCTTATGAAGGTCCAGGCCACATTAAAATATGGCCAACTTCATTCAAGAATCCTGTAACAAAGCTAAGACTTCACTCGGAAGGGACCAATCAGTTTTGCTAACAGTGTAAGGCGGATACAGAGGAGTGAACTCTCACAAATACTCGATTTTATTTGGAACCCTGAACGATCGCGTACTAGGAATACTCTCATGGTTCAAAGAGTATTCAAGTCGTCTTATGCCTTCGAGAGACACGCTGGAAAGGAGCAAAGGAAAGAAATATGAGGAAAAGTCTCAAGCCCTACTACAGCAGAGATGACAGGAACGAAATGGTTGGCCCTAGCAGTAGCAGAGCCCATCAGTGATTATGTCTTCGCTGTTATTACGCTCAGCTTCCGCATCATGCTTGCTGGGGTAAACTCGAAAAAGGGGTACTGGAGAGTTATACCAGTGTACGTACAACAAGGCTGTCCCGATCAATCCAGCAAACATGGAGGAAGACTACGCCCACTTTACAGTGTCTAAGAGAAATGCAAGGGAAGGAACGCGATGGAGACGTGCCCCCCAGAAGTCCTAGCTGCCTAAGAAGTTGTAGGAGGCTTACCAAGGCTACCGTGGCGAAGGCAAAGAACACGGAAGTGGATACTTGTACGAAATGTTCTATGGTCGAGATGGGGGAAGTTCATTTTCCGGGTAGCCAAAGAGAGCTGAGAGAGAGCACCGAGCTAAGGCTTCGAAGTAGTGAGGGCTGTAAAGGCGATGATGCACTCTTGAAAAGCCACCTGAGGTAAAACATTGCTGAGAAGAATACTTTGAGAGGATTCTGGACTAAAAATCACCAAGCAAAGGCAGCACACAAGCTGAAGCAACAGTTGGTCCCGTCACAGCATGGTTAAAGAATGAAGGGAATCGAGCAATAGGGAAGGCGAAGGTCGTGAAGACAACAGGTCTTAATGGCGTACCAGTTGAATCGGGGAATGCGCTCGAAGAGTATGGAAGCAAGATGCTTGCTCCATTTTTACCTAAGTCGTGAAAAGGCAGTCATATAGTTCTCATCTTGAAGAAGGAGGAATTTGCGACAGGTTTTTCCAACTACCGCAGGATCAGGTTTCTGACGGCTAAAAATGCAGCATGTGGCTACACCTAACAGGAGTTGCGGACTCTGCAAATGCGCTGGATTGATGATTCTGACCATGAGACGAACAACTGGAACGTTCTGCATATCGTCATCATCTTCATTTGGGCGCATCAACTCTTTCGAGTAGTTCCTGCTGACATACCATCTGTATTTGATCTATAACTTTACCTTAGGTTGGGTTTCATGCAAGGGAAGTGGGACTTTCAGAGTTTTATTGCCGCTCTATACGTATATGTACACATTTCTTACTAGTAGGTGTGTACAGTCTGATTTGATTGCAGACTGAATTCACCTACTAGAGAGAAAACGAAACAGCTTTTATACTCTTAAGCAGTTTTGACGTTAAACGGGAGCGTTAGTGAATGGATATTGTGGTCTCAATCGTTTACAGCTTCGTAACAGTAGCAAATTACGTATGTTTGAAAACGTTTATAAAAAATTACGATGTGGTAGAACAAACACTTCTCGTGAGGCAAAACAGAAGTCTAAACTCAACTCTTAACAATCTAGGCAACAGAATTCCATGAATGAAATACGCATTGTATACACCTACACTTGAGGAAGAATATTTATCGTATTAGGTTCTGGTTCCAGTGCTGCGTGATGGTCTTCCACTGGGTGTAGAAGTGAACGCCAGCCTAGAAATATTTCAGCCATTTCGATTCTTTTCGCTAGCAACAGCAACCTATACCACTTACTTTTCCGTAGTAGTTCAGGTCACCTCTGAATGAACCACGTGATCCCGTGAAGGAGAACATAGGCAAGGGAATTGGGACGGGTACGTTTACGCCAAAATGACCATTGTCCACTTCATTCACGAATCTAAGTGAAGTTGTCATTATTCTCGGATCATGATAATGAAACATGAGGAAAGCATACTTCCTAGCAGTAGCGCCGTTCGACGTAAAGACGACTGCTCCGTTTCCGTAACGATTGTTGTTGATGATTTCAATGGCCTCGTCCAGGTTGTCGACGTCCATGACAACCAGTACCGGTGCGAAAATCTCTTCCTGAAATCTTGTCTGATTCATTGGATCTCTGAGTGGAACCATACAAAGGTCTGCCAAAGCAATTTTTTGTGAAGAAGGCAACCAAGAGATACAGTGATTGCCTCCCCAACGTGATCCTAACCTGGTAGCATTTCATGTGCGGCTTAGCTCCTGCGATAACGGTTGTCCCAAGGAAGTAGCCGTTCTCAAAGCCGGGGACGACGAAGTTACTTCCATCAAGTGGGACAGT